ATAATTCTATATTGAAAATAAAAATTATTTTGAAATATTAAGAGAAATAGATTGTTCTATTAATCTTCCAGTTCTTCTTCAAAAAATTTTTAAAATTCATTCATATTTTGAATATTTCTTCTATGTATTTAACTCTTTCTATTATTATTATTAATTGTAATAAATTAATCATATTATTTTATATATATATATATAAACTATTAAGATTACCCTATATAAATATTTTCTCTCTAGGATATTTTGTTTTCTTTTTTTGATTTATATGTCAATGAGAAAAATATATGAAGCCTAGCACGAATTTTATCATCAATCTTATATAGAGAGCAAGTTAGCAATGTTAAAATATATCAAGATATAATGAAAAGAATATTGATAACTATTCAAACAAAACTCCATGTTTTGTTTCTTATTAAAGAAATTTTTCTATAATATATAAATATTTTGAGTTAAATAATTTCAATAATTCATTATATTTATATGCTATTTATTTGAAAATTTTCTTCAAATTTTCATCGAAATTTTTCTACACAATAACATAAACCAAAAGAATTAAAAGATTAATGTAAAATAAGGCTATTAATTAATAGGATTTATTAGATTTCTATATTATCTTTTACTATTGCTATAGATTTAATTGTGAAAGAATATTTAAAAAACTTTTATTTTTATGAGAATGAATGTCAACGATTGATAAAATTTAATTCACTATTTACATATGATCAAGAAAAACTAAGAAAAACAATAATTGTACATTCTAATTCTTCAATTAATATATTACGTAAAAGTATATTAACTAATTTATATAAATTATACGAAAATGATCAATGGAATTTATCTACCTTAACAACATTATCTACATTATTTGATAACTCAATAAATCATTATTTAGAAGCTGAATTACTAATAATTTTGTATATTTCACAACTCAAAATAGATAATGTAACTAAAGTAGAAGATATTATCAAAAATCTACTACCAATATTAAGAACAGAACAAATAGTTGTAGAAAAAGAATTTGAAATAAATTTAAATATTATTGATGAATTTAAAAGAATTTTATTAACTAATCAAATTATTCGTATTATTCAAAATGTATATTCTAAATTAACAAAAAAACAAATTAATACAAATGATTTACAACAAATTATAAATGATATACATATCGAGTTTGTAGATGTTGGAGCAGCATATCAATTAAGAGGATTTAGTGGAAGAAAAAAAATATATGTTAATTTTTATTATATTCTATTCCACTACAAGTATGATTATCTATCTCCACCTTCAGAATTATTACAATTGGATTTATTAACACTAATGCTTCATCAAACTATGCATATTATATTATGTGAAAGAGAAAATAATTATAATCTATCTACATTAATTGATTATGCTGAGGTTAATAAAGAAGAATCTAATACATATATTGAAAAATATATATTTACATGTTGTCCAGATTGGGTAAAATTATATAAAAATAATATTATATCTATTTCACAAATAAATTCAATTTTAAATGCATTAAAAGCAGATGAACCTGTATCATCATTGTTACCACAACGTCTTAATTTTTATACAAGAAATGTTTCTACAATAGCATTGGATATAATATCTCTTGATTTTCAAAAATCATGGGAACTTTAACAAACAAGTTTCTTATTTTTCAGGTAAACATCAGTTGTAATAAAACTAAATGAATTCATTTGTTTATTTATTTCTTACTTTTTAGGTATACATTTTTTTTCTTGTTGATAAATTTCTTCTATGGATTGTTGTAAATAAAAAATTCTCGTCATTGATTTCTGTTCAATTATCAAAACTATTTTATAGTTTTTCTGTTTTGCAATTGAAAATAAACATCATATAATAATTATTGTTGATATGATGTATTTGATTTATTTTCATGTATTATTCAATAAACATTATATGAATAAATGAATAAATCAAATCAAATCAAATGATTTCTATGTTTAATCATTTTGATAAACTATTTATTTATGAAAATATTATAGAAAGATATCATCAATATAATTTTAAAATAATTATATCACTCATATTATATTACAATTAAAATATTTACTTTTAATTGCAATTGTATTTTCTTTTGTTTAGCTAGATTTTGAAATATTATCTCATCAAGATAATTATAATTATTAGAATTTTTAATAAGAATAGTCTATGATTATGAATATATGTAAATAGACTAGTAAAATATTTTATTTTTGTTTTTCAAATATTTTCATAACTATTGTACTTATCAAAATATATTCATACTATTACAAATTAAAATATAAGATAAAATTTTATTATAGATATATTTCTATAGAATAAATCAATCAAATAGTTTAATTTAATCTATATGAGAATATTTTAAAACAACAAAAAATTTAACATAATTTTATGTTATGTGTATAATTTACATTGTCAAATTTTACAAGTAAAATTATGATTAGAATTAGAGAAAGAAAATATCATCTATAATATATATTTACTTTTATTTATAAGAAAATAATAACTAATGAAAAGAATAAAAACTAAAATAAATTTCATTTCTTCTATTTCTTTATGTTTTTTTGTTTTTTGATATACTATTGTTTAATTCACATTTATTTATAATCTAGACAATTATATTATTATTATTCTTATTGAACTATTTTTAAAGATATATCTTTTTCTTTTTATTGATGAGATCTTAATCTTAGTTAAAGAAAAAAACACACTACTTGATAAAATTGAATTTTCTCATTCATGAACAAAAAAAAAGGTTTGTATAGAGAAATATATATTGTTTAGATTTATATTCTTATTTTAATATATGAAAATAAACAAAAAAAGAAAAAATGAAAATGATTATAAAATGTTGGGAAAATGGGGTAGATCACTTTGTTTTAGCATCCTATTATTATAGGCACGATCCTAGTTAATAAATAAAGTTATATTTAGTCAATCTCACGTAATACAGACAAACATATATTGTTGAGAAAACACAACAAAATAAAAGTTATTTTCGGATTACATGAAGTGAAAAGGTGTTGTCATATTATTAGAAAGTCATCTAAACCAAGGATTATTTCTTTAATACACATTTGAAAGAGTCAAATGTATTAGTTTTTTGCTTTTCAAGAAATATAATCATATTATTAATCTATAATCCGAAGATAAAAAGCATAAGATATGCTACACAATATACTAAACACTAATGTTTCATTATTCAAATAGTTCATCATTACAAAGAGATCTCATTTTCGATCTATTACTCAAAACTAATCGAGGTCTACAAATATCCGTCCATCAATAGATTATCTCTAAGTTCTTATCAGTATCAATGAAAATAATCTCAAAAAGTTTTGGAAATAATAGCAATACAAATAGCGGTCTTTTAAGATCAATATACATGACATATAGGAATGTCATTGAATATATTAGCAGATTTCATCAAATTTTGCCACTGTGAAACTATAGATATTATCACAGACAAGCTTTGGAAAGGATACACAATCATATCTAGAAAACTCTTCTAAAGTTATAGGAACAACTTGTTAGACAATTCTTGAAGAGTTACAGAGACCATATCTAAAAAAATCTTCGATATTGATGAATACTAAATATTGGATAGGTATTGAAGAAATATGGTGACCATATTTGGATAAACCTTAAAGAGTTATAGAAGCTATTCAACAATAAAACTTAAACAATTATGGATGCTCCTGTACGATAATTTTTGAAGATTTACGGATACATCTTAAAAGTATAGTCTTTGACGACTTATAGATATTCTTGTAGGATAGTCGTAGAGAACCTCTAGGTACTATCTTTTAGGATAGCTCTTAAAATCTTATGTTGATTTTATCAATTGTAGTTCGATCACTTGTGTGAACTGAACTAGTCGAATAATTCATCAGTTTGGAATTTTTTTCGAAGTTTTCTATCTACAGCTTGATTACGTTATTTTTGATAGTTTTGTACAGTTTGCTGCATTTATTCAAAACCTCAAGCATTTCTTGTTTTGATGTAGTTGGATAGAACATCGATTACTCTATCGAATCATATAATTTTCATTTTGTTTACTTTGAATCTTGGCCAAAATTTGATACGTTGCGAAAAGCAGTCATCAGAGAGCTTTGCATCCAGCAATTTTCTGACCATCTCACAGGTAATTACTTTCACTCTTATCTGGAGTGCTAAAACTTTTTATTTTTATATAGAATAATAGACTACTCTTTATTCTACCGAATTATATATTTTTCATCGGGCTTATACGTTATCTCTACTATAAAATTGGGCGACTTTCCTAAGAAATGTGTTTCTCAATTTTTCTTCATATATGGTTTTTGACTTTTCTTCAAAGAAGTTTCGGCTGTTTAAGTATATAAACTTTTTGTTGTTCATATACAAATGAACAGAGCGTCAATTTCTCTACTGATTTATATAATTTTGGTTTGGTTTACATTCAGTTTTCAAGGTAAACTTTTACGAAAACCACTATAACCTTGTTTTTCATAAGTGCAAA